CAGGCGGCGGGGTCTCCTTAGCCGCCCGCTTCTCAGAGCACTAAGCGAGGGGGAGCGTGCGGGGCGCTGTGTCGCCCTCCCAGCCCCGGCGTGAGGCGGTGCGGGGCCCCGCAGCCTGTCGAGTAGGGAGGGGGCCTGGGCCTTCGCCATGAGGAGGGGAGGAGCGAGTCGCAGCTGCGGGCAGAGGGTTCCAGAAAGAGTTACAAACCCACGGAAGAGCAGATGAAACTGCGCTGAGCAACCCCACAGCCCCGGCTGCGCGCAGGGATGGGGCTGAATTGCGGGTTCCCGTCCCCAGAGGGGGATTGGGGGTCATCGGTGGGTCTCCAAGGACAGGGCTGCTGCTGTGAGTGCCCAGCTGACCAGACGAACAGACAGGATATGAAGTGCTGCTAGGAAAGGGAGTGAAGCAGAGTCACTGTTGCGTCCCTAGAAAGTCCACGGTGAACTTTCCTATGCTGGAAGTAGCTAAGGAAAAGAGCAGGGGCACGAAAGATCAATCAGGCCTGCAGAATGGCCTTCATATAAGGAGAAGCTGAAAAGGCTGAAAGGTTTCAGCTTGGGAAAACCACCATCTAGAAAAATCCATGGAATGAAAAAAAGAATTGGTGGAACTAGGTCTTAAATCTAGCGAGCCTTGTGTACGTGTGCCACCTTTTCATACAGTCTTAGGGTGGCTTATAACAAAAGGGGAAGAACTACAGAGACGGAATAAAATAATGAGAGTACAACCTCTTCCCTAAAGTGGGGGGAAGAATCGAAAGTGATCCTCCCCAACCACTTCTGCTCTTTGTCCCTGACCAGTGAAAATATCCTTCTCCACAGCTTTATTTCTTAACCCACATCCAATGCTAGGAGTCGCCTAAAACAAAAATACTTTTGTGGAATTCATTGTCCCGGGATGTTCAAGCCAGTAATTTTGAGTGGGTTAGGTGGTACTTTATGGAGGACAGGTTTATAGGGGGCTATTGCCTATAACATTCAAAGTCAAAACAGCATTAACCTGCTGCTCACCAAAATGGTATGATAGTGGATAGAACTCTCTACAAATTACCTGTTTCTTTTAGTGTCTCGAAAGCAACCATTATTTGCCACTGTCAAAGTATGGGATACTGAAGTTGATCCTTAGCCTAAGCTAGTACAGCAGTTCTTAAGTGGGGGCAGGGTAAGAAAGCAAACCTGAGATCCATGCAGCCAACCTGACAACCCCCTTTGAAGGTGGAGCAAGCCGGGCTGTGACCTGTTTACCTCCCTGTGTGGCTGTTGGGGACCACGTGGTGATATTCTCCAACTAACATGACTTGGAGGGCCTCATGGGGTTTATCACTGAGGTGGTAAAAAGGGTGAATAGAGCCAGGCTTACTAAATAAGGGTGCTTGGAAGAGATGGAGAGTGATGTGCTCCTTCATCTTGCTGACATGTCTTTTGGAGAGCTGAGTCTGTGATCTGGTTTCTGAAACTGGGGTTGTAGAGCTTTTGCATAGAAGAAAAATGGCTTCCACTTGATTATATCTAGTTATAGAAACTCCATTTCACAAAACAAATGGTCAATTCAGTAAAGAAAATATTGATAACCTTTTATGGTAGGCCAACTCAAAAAGCAATCAAAGCAAATTTTCTAGCCTTAATGTAGCTATCTGGTTATAAATCAGTGCACACTTTCTTTGTGCCTATGTAAACACCTTTAAGAAAATTAAAATTACAATATTTTAATCACATTGATTTAATAAATTTCAAACACACAACCTGATATGTTTTCATAGTAGTTATAACAGCTGCCAATAAACATCAAATCATTCCTAAAGCATGGCTTGCAAGAATAAGAAATGGGAATATTTTTGCCATGATTAGCAAACTATTTTAAGGCAAGATGGAGCAAAACTAATAGTAGAAAAGCTAAACATTATATATACTGTCTAACTTTTTTTAACCTCTAACTGCCTTATTTTTGGCACTTTTCGCTGCTCTTGCAAGGTGAAAACGTAAACTGCCGGCAGCTGTCACTAAATTGCTAGAAGTTAAATTCGTAAGTTGTCATCAAATGAACACTAGTTCCCACAGAACTGTGCTAAATAAGGAGGGAGGAAATGAATAACTTCGCCAAGCTTATCTCTGGTTTTTAATGTTTTAGCCATTTTGAACAATAACAACAAAAGCTAGAAATATCTGGCTGTTTTGAAGCTAACTTGATTTTTTTCTTAATGCTTGGCTCTTGGGCAATCAGTTCAGGGAAGTCTCCTTTATTAAAAAGGTTGGTTACTTTGAGTGACAAGCATTCTGAACTGCATTCGGATCTCTGGTTATTGCAAATACTTAGTAGCTAGCCAGTCTCAGGGCTGTCAGCTTTTGTTGTAGTGCTGGTACTGTCTCAACCGTAAGTCTCGTTCAAAGAAACTTTTGTACTATTTCTTAATTATAGACCATAGACTATGACTACATTTGGCCATGATGAATGATCTTATCTCCCTTCAAAGGTCTAGAAGACAAAACATGGACCTGGGGTAATTTAAGCATGGAACAGCGATTCATTTTTAGAAACTAGTTGAGTGCCTTTTCATTTGGACTAGTGCAAGCACCCGTAATGACACAGTCAGTTGAATAAAAATAGATCCACTTCAGTCAGAGGCTCCTGACTACTCTCAAGCAACAAACATAGATACCTCAACTTCACTGCTTCACTCTACCACGTAGTTGACCTTCAACTTATTGTCATGTGATGTTTTATGAGATTATGCTAATATTTACTATTTATTGTGTGATGCTCAGTGTCACAGTAATGTACTTGTGGGGGAGCACCAACAGGATGCTCACCACTTAAGGGCTGTTGCAGGCTCTGAGTGAGCCTACTTTGTGAGCAGCAGGGAAAGCCCCCACCCCCGGAACCATTTTAAGGGGGAACGTAGGTGGCAGAGCACCTTTGGTGTCTGAGGAGAGCAGGCAGCAGACAGGTGTAGCCCAGCCCTGGTGAGGCGGCCATTTTAAGATCCTGGCTCTCAGGGCTGAGGCAGCAGTTTTCTGCCAGCAGCCGAGGGAGCAACAACACCCAGCTATGCTGCTGCTCATGGAACATCTTGGAGTTAAGGTCAGGAGCTATTGGGGATGGCAGGAGGCTCCTGGTCCTGGGTATGACTGAAAACCGCACTCCGCTGGGGAAGGGTGGCTTGGTGGGACTGGCTGTGGTGGGACAGTCCCCAGGCCAGTTACCTTTCTGGTGAAAGGCGAGGAGGGGTGCCTTAAAACCCCAGCCCCCCCTATTTTAGTGGGTTATTAAGATCAGAGGGGAGCAGAGCCAGGCATACCCATGGGAGTGGCACCTGAACCCATAGGGGTGGAAGACTGTGGAGAGTAGTGGGGTCAGGCATGCCCAACTGGAGGCACCTGAGCCCAATAAGAGGAGTAGTGCCAGGCATGCCCATGGGGGTGGTACCTGAGCCTGTGGGGGGTGATGAGGCCCCAGGGAGATGGGGGTGAGTGGTGAGGCCCAGGTAAGCTTTTGGGCGTGTGAGGCCGCAAGTGAGCCTGGCGCCAAGTGAGCCAACTCGGAGGGAGCCGTGAGTAGTAGGGGTGAGTAATTGGCTCCAATTGTGGAACCTGTGGGTTGAGTTACCAAGTGATGGGCTAGGGGTAAAGTCAGCGCAGTGTTTGTTGAATTGCCTGGCCACTGTTTAGGTGTGGGTCGCGAGAGAGGCCCAAAAGGCTGCACGTTGGCCGGCCAAGGAGTGTAGAAACAAGCCTAATGGCCTACGGGAGCCACTTCAGGGAGCAGGGCAGGGTGCATGTGGCTCAGTGAGGAGCAAGGGTGCAAGAGGCCCAGTGAGAGCAGGCAGAGTGGTAGAGGCCTCAGTGAGAGGGAAGTGGTATGTGTAAGGCCCAGAACAGGGCAGTATGAGCCCTAACAATGTGCCGAGTTGGGCCCAGCCTCAAGCTGGACCATACATAGCACAACTCAGATGTCATCTGCGAGGCATAGGACACGATAAGGGAAGGTCGGAGTCATGTATGCACCGCCACTTGACATAAGGGTGCTTGAAGGACAGCCTCCCACCTGATTAACATCCTAATTACTTTACAAGAAGACGTGGCAAGTGAGTAAGGCAGGCGGTGTGCCCAAAAGACAGGTGGGTGTGCCAGCACTGTGACTGGGTCTGGGACTTTGCCCCCGTCATGGTACTGTATAAAGGGCTGCCTGTAAATAATGCTGCAGCTGCCAGAGAGAGTCACCGACTTGCTGTTGCAATTAAAATTTACAGATGTATGGATCAACACTGTGTCCAGCACCATCCACATAATAATAATAATTAAAAACAAGACTTTTGACCTTTGTGCTGGGAGGGGTGGCTATAGGTCCTTCCACCCCAAGCCTCCCACCAGCACTGCCTCTGGTGGCATGTGCAGAGGGTGCTAGCCAATGGTGGTGGTGTCCTTGCAAGTGCATCTCCACTGGCAGCTGGTGCTTCTCTTCTGCATGTAGGGGGGACATGATTAGAAGCACCAAATG